GGCAGTTTTATTAACTATGTACCCTTGGGCTCCTGGTTCAACCAACTTTCCTCTCGTCTTTTCCATGTAGTTTCTGCAGTCTCAATGAATTCTATCACGGACTCTGATGCTAAGTAGGCTAAATCTTGATATTTATTTCTCTCCCTAATAATTTGAAGGTCTTAGAGTCTGTCTTCTAGTTATGCTTAAAGCACAGGTTATATTAATTGGTTTTACTTTATCTCTTTGATGATCTGTATAAGTTTTTAGAGAATGTGTGGAAAAACTGAGATTTAGGTAGCTGCCATTATTCAATGGCAATCCAGGATTCTCAATTACTCAAGTATTGTCAATGGCTTTTTAGTTGACCATTTTCTCTACTTTAGTCTCCTTTATTCTACAAATGCTATCTTTACTTAGTAAAAACTGAACTTTTGATAATTTATGGTTAGAACCACTAATAAGCTCTCATGGACAATGGACACAATAACTAAAAGAGTCACATGATGCAAAAATACGTAAAGGAGGTGAAAACATAATGAATTCAGCTTGCAAAAGAAATATATCACTTCTGTGGTGCATTTGATAACTTAGAGTAAAAAGTAAAATCAAGATATTACCATGAAAGAAGTAAAATAATTTTTTGTTTCTGCTAAAACAGCAGTAATCTTTCATGTCCAGTGATTTCAGATTTAATATGGCTACTGAAAAACAGTTGATAGGGGCACCTGGGTGGCTCAGTCATTGAGCATCTGCCTTTGGCTCAGGTCATGGTCCCAGGGTCCTGGGATCGAGCCCCGCGTCGGGCTCTCTGCTCAGGGGGGAGCCTGCTTCTCCCTCTCCCACTCCCCCTGCTTGTGTTCCCTCTTTCGCTGTGTGTCTCGCTGTGTCAAATAAATAAATAAAATCTTAAAAAAGAAAAGAAAAGAAAAACAGTTGATAACAAGTTTCAAAGTCCCTTACTTAAGAAATAATTTGGGTATTCAAAAGTAAGTCTCGGGGGGTGGGGGGATGGGTTAGCCTGGTGATAGGTATTAAAGAGGGCACATTCTGCGTGGAGCACTGGGTGTTATGCACAAACAATGAATCATGGAACACTATATCAAAAACTAATGATGTAATGTATGGTGATTAACATAACAATAAAAAATTATAAAAAAAAAGTAAGTCTATTCAGAAATACTAAGGCACAAAACAGACTAAAAGCAAATGACAACAGTAAGTTCTGTTAGAGAAGATTCATAGAGTAATCTACATTAGCATCTTATATACATAATCTGGTGTGCTTAGGATTATAGCTTCAGAAGGGAGCCAAAAATCAATATAATGAATTAAAAAAAGAACAAAGGCTAAGAAAGAACATTAGAATTGATATTAGGTTAGGAGCGTGGACTAGATACTAAATACTTTTTTCTTTAAAGTAAACTGGGTTGGTCTACAGAAAATAAACAATTCTGTGCCTCTTGTAGGAAACAGGAATTGTCATTAAGCTATTAATTAAAAAAAGTTAGAGCACAAAGGTACATGAGGCAATGAGACAGAGGAAAACAGCCTAATCCTTTAGGACAAGAATTTAAAGCTGTGTTGGTAATCATGCTGGCATTGTTTTGTGGTCCCCTCAGCAACAGAACATGGTCCCCATCCTCTTATAATGGAAAAGAATTTTTTATTATGAATGGACTGTTAATTTTTCTTGTCTTTGGGCCTTTGATTTATGCTAGTAGTTTGCCTTACAAGGGGATTTAGATGTCATATTCTCTAACGACAATTCCTGTCCTAATGTTTAGGGATAAAAACACGGCCTATTGTTTTAAATTTTCAAATAAGCATGGAACAGAGTAGCCATACTACAATAAGCATTTACAGAGAATCTTCTATTCTCTGAATCAAAAGAGGTAAGAGTGAACAGAATCTGATTTCTTAGAGGGTAGCTTTCAAATATTTACTAAAAACATTTTAAAACTGAGATCTAAAGTATTTATATGAATGAATGAATGCTTCTATTATTTAGATCAGAGATTTACACAAAATGCATAAGTAAAATGTTTTCCATAAAACCTAATAAGTATTAAAATTATCTAACACTTGTGTCTTAAGATTCTGACATATATACTATATTTAATGTTACCCCAAAAAAATTTAAGAAAGAAAACCACTCTGAAGTCATACATCAATTTCAGATTATGGTAATTTTTGATGTGTAATTCAAATATACTAAATTTCCACAGTGTAAAAATTTTAAAAAGCATAATTTCTTTCCTTTCAGATTTGTCCTTTCCAATGACAGATTAGTAGATTGTAAAATAAAATTTTAAGTTTAGATTTCTATTACACACATTACCATCTTATATTTGTACAGAATGAAGAAATCATTGTTTCTTGATCAGGTGCAATTCTGGTACAGGCAGTGATATTTTTAGCTAAAACACCCAAAACTAAGGAAGAATTATGACACTAGAAGGTCTCTGCAAAAAAAAAGCCAGTACAGATTCACTTAAGTTAAATGTTTTATAATTTTACCTTTAAGAGGGTAAAAGTAGCAATGGATCAATCACTTCGAGGAAGAACAACTGTAGAAAATAAATATCTTACTAGTATTTTTTTTTTTTACTTTTCGTTGTTTAAAAGCCATGTGCTAATTTTTAAAAAATACATCAATAAAATATCTATAAAATCTGTCTGTAATTCAAGAAAAAAAGGTTTATATATCATTCTCATCTTTAATAATATAATTTGAGACTATTTTAAAGAAAAAGCAAAAATTTAAGACACAATATTAAAACCTATCTTTTGGAAAGACTTTCACATCCTATAAACTCAGGAAAAAGCCACACTTTATTCAGAATGTAATTTTTTATAGACTAAGAGTTCAAATCCAAACCCTAGACTCTGCCAGAGCAAGGCAAGTAACCTTATAGTGTTTTTTTTTCCTTTACACGGTGATGATAACACCTCTTCATGGGACTAAAGGAAAGTTTAAATTAGATAACAGATATATCCCCAAGTCCTGTGTTGAGTACATAATAAGCACTCAATCAATGACAGATAATCATTCTTAAGTTAAACACTGAACATCTGCATGAACTTCCTCTTCCTGTGTCAAATTCTTTTGTGTCAATAGTCTTAGATATGAGGACACTTGAATTTTGTTACAGATTCTTAAAAAGACATATTCCTTTCGCTCCCTTCTTGGGGAGTCAATAGTTAAATTGGTAGTTTGTTGTTTTTATTGACACCTTGTGGCTATTTGGCCTTAACACTTTATAATATACATTTTAAGGCTATTTTCAATAAATAGGTTCAATGAGTAAGTCTGCAATGGATCTGAAATTTAATCCAACAATTATATACTTCTCAGCATTTCTTAAATCTATTCTTTAAAAAGTTATAAACTTTGGCTCTTTGGCTTCCTTTTTTTCATTTCTTTTCTTCAACTTCAGTTCTCTATCAGTCTTTCCAAGAGAGAGTTGAGCAACCCTCTACATATAACCAAGAACACTGCCTTCAGATCCTTCAGTTTCTGAACAAAGGGTCCATTTAGAAAATTCTTTTTTCTAACATAGAGAAAAAAACCAGGCCATTAAAAACAAAAGAAGAGTATAATAAAACAACTCTTCCAAAAAAATGAACTTGAGATATTCAATTTACTTAGACTAATTACATGATTATGTAAATCTGTCTATACAGGCATATAAAACTCAAGTCATCACATGGTTCTTTCTAGTCTTCTAGACCCATGCTATACAAAAGAACTTTCTGTGATCATGGAAATGGCTTAATATCTGTGATCCTCAAGAAGGTAGTTACTAGCCAAATATGGCTATTGAAAAGTAAGACTAAGGAACTCACATTTAAATTAAATTAAATTATTAAATTTAAATAGTCACATACATCTACTACAATGGACAGTACAGCCTTAGACACTCTCCTTTTCTGTTCCTTCTCTTTACCATGGTGAACCTTATTCAGATGCTCTCATTGAAGTCCTTGTTTCAAAACCCTTCTCTAAGATTGAATAGCTTGACGGAGTTACAATCTCAAAAGCAAAGAGAATTACTGAAAAAGAATTTTCCAAGCTAGTTTTAAAATGTGCTTTTTGATGAAGAGTACCACATTCAATTATTTTATATTTTCTAAGCACAGTTCACTAAGAAATGAAAAATAAGAAATACACACATCTGAGTGCTTGAAATTAAAACTCTAACAATATATACTTTCTCCTAAATTCTTTATCTGCTACATAATTAATCCCAGAATAAGATAATGGTATAATTAAAAACAAGTACAGCACAAACCATAGCATAACAAAGCAGAACCAAGGGAACAGATAAAAATCATTCTGTACCCGTCTATTCTCTGTGATAATACAAAAATTAATGAATGGAAATATGATGGATCAAATGCAACAATACAGTGTGTTAGCCAATGAAGAGTTGTAATTTTTATCACGAGAATTATTTACCACAGCATCAAAGATCAAGTCTTACCTCAGTTTTAAGGGATTTCTGAATGACTGCTTATGGCTCTTTCCAATTAAATCTAAGCATAACCATTATTTATTTTCATAAACATTACTTTAAAGTAAAATTATTAAAAAGGTGACCATAAGATCTCAGAAAAAAATTTGTGGTGTTTTAAGCTCCCCTCTGTTTCTCCTCCCCAGTCTCCCCACATATACACAAACGCAGTCTTTTTCAAAGAACAAATGTAGGTGCTAAGAAGGAAAACAACTATGGTGCTTATCTGTTAGGAATGAAAGAATGGCCTCTCTCTGGGGCTGGAATTAATGTCATCACCACCAATCAATTCCTCCTTTCTTCTGCCTATCAACTTGGCTTTCAGTAACTCCCGAGTGGGGAGGTGGGGTGGGAGGGTAGAGCATGTAAAACAACCTCAGTATTCTGGGATAGGATTCAAAAGAATTCAAGTTATGGGAATACAAGTTATGTGCTAAACTACATGCCAATTTCTGAATGACTGCTGATTTTTTTGTTTGGCATTTGAAACATAATGAAACTTACTATTTTGAGCCAACGCTTGAAGCAGACAATCCAAGCATCCTTCTAAACTATCCTCAATTCTGTCAACAGCTGTTATCTTCAACTTCTTCAAGGTATCACTGAGATTATCTGTTTATAGAAAGAAGAGAAATCAGAACTCTAACGTATGATCATCACGTTTCATGACAGTTAACACAAACAGGCATTATTGTGAATTAACTTCCACATACATTACAAAATGGCAATGGCCTGTACCATTACAAATTTTTTAAATAAAATGTATCCATTTAACTCAGATATTAAATATTCATTCTGTATACGTGAGATACCAGGAATATTTAGGAACAATACAGATTGTCACAGAACATCTTTTTCAGGATTCTTATACCATATTTAGCTTGTTCAGGAAACCAGCCATGATTAATTGAAAAAAAAAACAAAAAACCTAAATGTCCCCAAAAAATTACATTGCTTTGAAAATAATATTTTGTTTCATTTTTGGCTTTCTCTGCTGCATTTAAAAGACATAAAATGAAAATGAAGGTTTAGAAAAGTTTCAAAATAATATGACTTAAAATAATACAAAGCTGATGATTATAAAACCTACTTCAACACTGCCATTTGAAAAACACTTCAAATCAAAATACTGCTATAAGCCAAAACATGTACATTTTGGATTATAAAAGCCGTGCTCTCGTCCTAAATTATATATGGATTCCCCTATTCCACAGATTGTCAAAATTTCTTTACATATTAAAAATTCAGGGCTTTTATTTACACCAAATTTTCTATTGACATTTAAAAACTAAAAATTAAAATAGACTTTTTAAGATTCATTTTGGTAAGCTCTCTGGGCTCAGACCTAGTTTGCGGCGACATGGCTAAACGCACCAAGAAGGGTCGGAATCATGGGTAAATATGGGACCCGTTATGGTGCCTCCCTCAGGAAAATGGTGAAGAAGATTGAAATAAGCCAGCACGCCAAGTACACTTGCTCCTTCTGTGGCAAAACAAAGATGAAAAGACGAGCTGTGGGGATCTGGCATTGTGGCTCCTGCATGAAAACCGTCGCTGGTGGCGCTTGACCTACAACACCACTTCTGCTGTCACAGTAAAGTCTGAAAGACCAGTAGAAGCTTCACCATTTGAAACATTACTAGCCTATAATAAATGGGTTAATTTATGTAACAAAAAAAAAAAAAGATTCATTTTGGTAATTCACTTGACCCTAACAGTTATAAAATTATTTGTTAACAGTAATATTTAAAAAAATATATTCCAAAAACAAAAAACTCATTAAAAATAGTATTTTTCTACATTTTTACAAATCTCCATAATGTCTGCCTTAATAGAAAATAACTGGATTTTCCTATCTGCTTCTGTATTCAATCTTCTATAATTTGTTGTTTGGGTTAAGTAGATGAAGAAAATCTAGCCTTACACACATAGTTGAAAAACAGGAGAGTATTTTAATAGCCTTTTCAGCTAACTGTGGATATTTTTTGATACCATACCAAAACTTGACAAGTGGTAGTTTTTTAAAGGTTGGTTGCCATAAGAAATCTGAAACAATATTAATAAATGCTTCCAACTCTCACATTCATATCCACTGATCTCTTACACTTTGAATCTTTCATGATATAAGATATTTATCATCAATGCACTGATCATTAAAAAAAATTAGGTCATGGATTTATGCATATCTTCCAAACATTGACATATTTCATTGTACTATTTCAAAATATAACATTTGTTAGTATCATCACTAATCTTATTAAAAGGCTCTGGTAAGTACTGGGGAAATATCAAGCTGAAGGCATACAAGTTTCCCAAAATTCTAATTTTTTCTTACAAACTTCAATTTTATTACCAGCAATAAATATTGTCAGTTGTTTTCCTTAAATGATAAATTAACTTCATTCATTTGTGAGAAAATATCTGCCAAATATGAAAAACAAGTTTGTCTGTCAGTTCTTTCAAACAAAAAATGTTTTTCCATGAAAAAAAAGTACCCTGGTCAGCTCATAAACTACTGCCCAAGTGCTTCTCTTCAAAATAGGCATCAGACTTTGTAATGCAATTAAAGTGTTTTATGTGTACCTCCCATTTCATTACAAAGAATATTTTTAAAATGTGTACACAGATATTGAGATTTTTTTAAATATTTTTTTTTCTGCTTCATCATGGGCATTCTTAAGTGAAACTGGTATTTTTTTCTACTTCAAGTACGTTAATTGAAGAATACTACTAGTACAACTTAGTACTACTACAGCTCTGATTCACACATCCTAAAGCACCTTCGGTTTCTTACCCATAATTGCTTTTGTACCATTATTAAGGCAAATGTCAACAAAGTGAAAAAGACAAATAATGTCTTGATAGCATTACGCAAATAGTATTGACCTTATAGACACCTTACATTTTAATAGACTTCTGTACATTGCCAGGTCATGACAACTCTAAAAATATTATGAAATCCTCTATTATAAAATAAGAGATAATTACTTTCCATGCCAACCCAAGAAAAAGTAGACTTAAAATTTTACATCAAATAATACTAAAATGCTCTAGGGACACGTAGTACAACCTGACTACTCTAGTAAACCTAAACCTATACTTTATTAAAAATCCCAGGTTATCATTCACATCCAAGTTTAATATTTCTTAAGAAGAACTAGTAAGCAGTTTTGAGAAATTGATTTTTATTCTAAAGAAAAAGTATGTTTGTATGTATGTCTTCTATAAGCTAAAATGAAGTTGTAGGGGCGCCTGGGTGGCTCAGTTGGTTGAGCGACTGCCTTAGGCTCAGGTTATGATCCTGGAGTCCCGGGATCGAGTCCCGCATTGGGCTCCCTGCTCAGCAGGGAGTCTGCTTCTCCTCTGACCCTCCCCCACCCCCGCCATGCTCTCTCTATCTCAATCTCTCTCTCAAATGAATAATCTTCAAAAAAAAAAAAAAAAAAAAGAAGTTGTAGGGCATCATATCTCAGATATTCTTTTTCAAACTTATTAAGTGCATATTAGGTTGATTTTTCTGAAATAAAGTATGAATAATGTATAATATCTAAGTTCGTATTATTAAAAGTAATAAATGTAATTATCCCAACATTGGGGAAAAAAATAAGACTTATGTTAGTCAAATTACAGCAATCCATCAAAACTACCAGTCAACAAGTAATAAAAAGCAGTTAAGACTCATTTAGTACTACCTATATTGGCATCTGGGTCTTTTTAAATTCTTTCCTTCCCTTCATCCCATCCCCAAAGTGCCTTACCTGACATCCCCTTCTGATCAAGTCTCAGTATGGATGTTACCAGTCCAGAGGCCATCTTTGCCCATTTTATCTAAGTCTCCTCTTCCTTAATCCCTCAGGATCATTTTCACTGTATCCATCCTTCATAGCACTAGTCACAATTTTTAATTATATTTTTTATTTAATTGTTAATATACCTCCCCCACTATATTTTATGGGGCATCTTGTTAATTATAGTCATTGCATGGTGTCCAGTAAATACTTCTTAAATTAACTGAGTGAACGAAGGAATGAGTTCCTTCTTTGCAGAAAGCTGTCTAATTACCATCCTTTGTATCACACTTAAGAGCCAAAGTGTGCCAATAGCAAAGGGAAGGTAAATGTGACCTGTTAAGCACCTACTATGTACTCCATATAATTTAAAGTATAAATATAGTGTCTTACATTTTAAGATTCGAAGAAATCAATGAAGACAGTTTAAGTATTTAAGAATATAAAATATATAACTAAAAACTACACAGATTATCCCATTTTAAAAAGATTTATTAGTAAAAAAGCATTCAGTCTCTCCATGGGAATAATTACATGCCTATTAATGATGTGAGATCTTCTTAGGGAAGTTCATTAAATTCTACATCCGGAGACAACCAAAGCTGTCAAACAGACTTACTACAAATTTATTATGATTTTAAGCATTTTAAATGAATGAACAGGTTAGCACTGAAAGAAAGTGTTAGACTGTTTCATATCTTGATTAGAATACTGATTACATGAATATATAGTACATTTTCCAAAGTTCATCAAACTGACCATTTAGAATCTGTGCATTTTAGCTTATGTGAATTATACCTCAATTCAAAAGAGCATATTGGAGAATAAAATGATTGGGGTGAGAACCCCTTTCCCACTGGCCTCAAGCTTCCTTATGGAGAAATTTCCACTATAGTGACACTTCTGGTCACTTCTGCCTCCTCCCTTGGCAACTGCCCACCACCACCTCCATTCTCTCTCTAGGAACGGAGTAATGTATCTGACTAATAAACTGAGAAAGAAGAACTGGCTGTGCATAACTCAGTCCCTTCTGGGTTCCTGATCTTCTAGAAGGGCAAGAACTTCCTGTTCTTCCATACCTTTGGCTGTCCAGGTACACATCTTGTCCAGTGACAAGATTAGCAAATATATCTAATTCAGCCATAAAGTATTAGCAGTTCTTTTGTGACTATACAAATAAGCCCTGTCCTTCACCAATTTTAAAGCAGTTATTTTGAATTCCATCAGAGAACTCATTTGCTTAGGTCTCTAGTGATTCTGAACTTGGATAAGGAACAGAGGGTACTATTTCTAGACTCCCTCAAACCATGACAGTACATCTCAGCAGTGAATTCTTACCATTAAGACATTGAAACTGTTCTAATGGAAAATTTCTGAGCTTCTGGTTGGTGGCGGGGGGGGGGCAGTAAGTCAAGAATGATAATTTTCACGGGAGGTTCTACTACTAAGAAGTGTTAATAACAAAATTAAATTTTTTTCTTAAAAGAATAATTTCTTTCCTATATGACAGCAGATGGTCTAGCTTGTCTTGTGAAAGAAAATATACCATTTTCAAAGAGTTAAGCAAAGTTGACTTTGTCATTAATTCTGCATCTCCTACTTCTAACCACTTTATCGCTCTTAAAACCACAACCTAACCAATTCTTCTTAAACTCTATCAAAATTACTCTGGCAAAGGTCTTAAATGATATCTTGACAAATCCAATGGATTTTTGTCTCAATCCTCTTATTCAATATCTTTGCAGCAATAGACTCTTTCTTTTTTGGTATACTTTCTACTGACTTCAAAATACCAGTCCCTGAACATTTGTTCTCAGTCTTCTT